TTCTATATAAGTACAAGTATAATAATAGACATTAGCCCAAAGTTTGTTATGATATGAAAGCCTAATCTATTGGATATTACGTGAAATTCGCATCATTGTCCATTCTGACTCGTCGAATCGTAAGAAACAGCTGCATAACGTTTAATATTCTTGAAGAACGCATTATGGCTCGCTAGAAAATATATTTAATGCGAAATACAATAGGTTACACAGAATGACCATGTCTGCATAACCTGGCCTTGCCATGTGCATTGAATCTCCCAACGTTCAACATTACCGACTTCCTCCATGTATTGCATGTTGGATGTCAATCTTCTCAGTAAATGTGTTGTGATTCGGACTTCTCGAAATTCCTAGTAAACACATCAAACAGAACTACTGTTCATTACACTACTAGTGATAATAAACTATCATTCTGATCGTATAAAATTAGGTGGTTCTAATTATCACATACTATCCCTATTTTTAACTGCTAACAACCAACTAGAAAATACAAGGAAAAAGTGATTATTCTAGTAATAAAGTAGACTAATACGTTTTGGATGGGGTTTTGTTTTCTGAGTTGGATGGTTTGGTCGTGAAGCTCTCATTGTTCTTCTGAACGACATCAGCACAAACTTCAGAGAGGAGTGAAATGTTTTAATTTCTCCATATATGGCTCACAGCTTGTCCTGTAGTCCTCAATGTAGATTGGTTATTGTTGACCTAGTGAAGTTTCTATTTCAAGCATTACTGGTCACTAACTCCATTCTTTGGATGTTGTAATTTGCTTGTTATAGAGTATAAATCTTCAATTATAACATGTCAAGTATTTGTAAGTGGAGCTTATGAACGCTTCAAATACAACTTCACCAACCAGTGAAAGCAGTTATAATGAAATAACGGATCATTTGATAAGTGTTATGAACGGGGAATTAAGAAGCCCAGACAATTACGAAAGCTATTTTCTTGGGACGTTATTGCATTTCATTCAAAACCTGTAAAACACTTATATTTATTTTTGTCCCTATCTTATTCTACATAACACGAGCTTTCGTTCTATGTATCATTCACTAGCATACCCTCTTTTGTTCCAAAAATATTGTAATTTAAACATTATATTTTGCACTATATTTTCTACCCTAATTCCCTGTTTCGGGCATAACTGTATTTTTCCAAATTATCGTACGTCGTGGTCAAGATATGCACTTATTTATTCATGTACATTTTTGTAGTAATCCGAATTCAGAGAATCCAGAGTTTAGTGTTCCAACTGTCTTGTCTTCTTTCATTTGCGTGCTTGCCAACCAATCAGGATTTAGAATAGTTCTCTCTACCCCGATCGAACTCACGCGTATTAGACTCAAGGTTAAGCCACTCAGCCTAGCGCGTCAAGGTCATAGTTTAGTCTAGACAGGTCGAGGTGAAGTCATAACAAGTATCACGGGGTAAAAGCAACTCAAGGTCATAACAATAAGTAAAAAATAGAAGTGGGGAGATTTTCACATCTCCGAGATTTGCCTACTTTGATGCTCGGGCAGAAGATGTAGTAAGAGGATGTAGAATTATGGTCTATTATGATATTAGTACTGCTCTAATAATAGACGTAATCCTAAAATCGTAGATTTGTCATGATGTGACTGCCTTATCTATAAGATCTTACGTGGAAGTTACATCATTGTCTACACTGACTCACCATATCGTACAATTACCATTGTGCGATGGAGAACACATTCGGACTGGAGATAGGACAATATATTTCAATATGAGTAAAGGACTCACGGTAACGCTTAACAGGGACCATGTCTGCAAGGCCAAGCAATGTAGTTCGACCAATTCGAGTTAATTCCACTCATTGTTCCGCCTTCTTCATCGTTGGGTTTTACTCTGCGTGAAATGTCAAATATCTATTTCCCCAACTATCCCATATTGAGCTTTGAGGATTGTGTAGTTAGGGTCCAGTCGCACTACATGGTATCCTTCTTCCAAGTCTGTCTGTAGAACGTGTTCCTCCTCACAAATCTTACTGAATAGAACGTAGGCCATGATTGGAGTTACTTTTATATCTGATTTCAGTGCTTCAGGTGGTATGTTCTCAGTTCCTGCTACTTTCTTACACTTGATTTGTCTGATGATCGGCCATCCTGATTTTGTAGCGTGGAGTCGATTCGCGGTTGCCTATGAACACCTCTACAGGAAGACGAAATGCCGGTTAACCGATAAAATCCCCCGTAAGCCAAATATCAGAAGGCAGTTGAAGGCTTCGTATTTGTTGGCGATCTCGTGGTATCGAAAGGATACCGAGATCGTGCCAAAGGAGTACAAGCGTGATTACCGAGCGTAACCGAACCCGTGCAAGGTCACAATCAAAGGAAGGAAGAATGTCTTGAGTGCAGATAAACAAGCAAGTGATATCCATTGGAAGGTTTGTGTGTGCTTCTTCTACGTCTTGTGGGTTCGATCGAGCTGGCATATTCAAGAGTTCCACGAGACGTTCTACCCACCTGTTCCTCATTCCTTGAATCCCAGTGAAAGGTTTGCCTTGATGATCCTTGACTGGTCTCTCAAGTTCAATATATTTCCCTGAATGTTTCAATTAACATATAATTTTTTGATATTTCCTTCTCTGGCCGCTTTTCTGCTTTCATCGTTAGTTCATCCATATATTCCATCTTATGAGCTCTTTACCCGTTTCCTACTTCTGTTTATTTAGCGTGTCCCTCTGGGATTTTTGTGCGACCATCATTAACTGCTGCCTTTGCGTTCTTTCATTCTTCAATCCTGCCAAGGTTATTCATACAGATGCACTCTTATTGGTTGTGCTTTTTGTGGCCCAGGTGTTCCTCGATCTTTGAAGTTATTGCTTCTCCGACCCCTTTCCAGTTGTTTTCCATGGTTATTTCCCACTTTTTAAGCAGACCATTCAGCGCTTCTAACCTTTTTTTGATAGCCGTCTTGAATTCATTGATTTTGTCCGAATCGCGAGGGAGGTCTGTATTAAACTTTTATAATGACATCTCTTTTAACTAATAGAAATGTGATCGATCTGGTCCTCTCTTGTCTGATCTGGTGAGACCCATGTGGCTTTATGTATGTACTTGTGGGGCAATATAGTGCCAGCTGTAACAATTTTGTTGGAGGCCCGTAAGTTCACACATCTGTCACCATTCTTCTTCCTTTCTCTCAATCAGGCCATGTCGTTTCATGATATCGTCATACTGGGTTTTAACCATTCGGTCTTTGGCATTTAGTTCTCTCATCAGGTTGGTTAGGTCATTTCCTAGGCACTTCTCTATGATCGACTACAGCCTCTCATAAAACTGATCGTTGTTGTCTTTGTTGCTATCATTAGTGGGTGCACAACACTAGATAAAATTCGTTGTAATCCCATCCTTTGTTATCAAAAGGTACTTGGACGCTAATGGATCCATGAGATTCCCATCCTATAAAAGCAGTTCATGCTCCTTCAGATGGCATCAGTGCAACCTCTTGATCATGGAGCATTTTGTTCTTTATGATTAGAGTACAACAGCATCTCTCCTGAATCTAATATTTTCTGTCCAGCTTGGGTTCGAAAATTTTCACTTATTTTGAGCATCATCAAATTGTATCTTCTCATTTCCCCAGTCATTTGGCTGGACCTTCCCGTTTCTACATTGTCCGGACATTTCATGTGCCTATGTGAATTGTTGTTCTGGTTGTCAAAAGGGGCATCGGCCTTGTGTCTCTCGAAGAATCTCGGCTTTCTTCACTGGGAGTCATAATTCTTCTGAAAGGAGGTCCTTCAACCCCGAGGACAGAATTTAAGTGGTTTAGTTTGTTCATTGTGGTTAGTGTTTATTTAGCTAGGTCATTTTCTGCGAGATAGGGTTGCTGAACTCATGCCCAACTGTCCTCTTTTATGTAGGCCTTGGACCGTCAGTAACCCTAGAAGAGCTATAGGTGGAGTTCGTACAACTACACGCATATATAAAATCGCTTAAAAATGACATGTGAATGCTCGAAAATCTCTTAGATTAGGTGATGAGCACAGCTACCCGCGCAAATCTTGCTCTGGTTTTTGTTATATACAGTGCGGTCTCTGAATTTGTACTACTTTATACCATTTCAGGACGGATTGAGTGATTTATTTTGGATGTATAGGTTATCAAGAAGTGTTTATGGACTTAGCAAATCTCCTGGTTTCCTTCCTAATATGTTGTCTTGATAAAGCGGACGTCAGGTATGGCCTTGAAAGACAAGATAGCCCAACGTATTCTCGAGATACAGGCTTCCACACCAAGTAGTCAAATCTCAGAACCTACTACTAGATTATTCACGATAAGAATTCCGATCTCGTCATCCAAAAGAATATAAAAACACCCGTGGAAACTGTTTAGAATACGAATAAAAGATCCTGCCTTCTGTTCTCAAAACGAAATGTACGTAGTCGGAATGTGGTCCATCATTTTTACACTATATGTCTTCAGTATTCCTCGTAAGGATAAAAGAGCAGTCAGCCAGTAATAATCTTCAAGCTTGAAAACTGCGTTCAAGCTGAGAGCTCCTGTTCAAAAAGAGACTCGAATATTCTGGAAAATGTATAGAGGACAGATGCCTGTGGGATCCAAGTACTCCGGGGGTTACCATATAAAGAGCGGTTTGAAAATTTAGATCTCCTAACTCTGTCCTACCACAGATTAAGTTGTGATCTGATTTTAGATTACAGAATACCAAAAATGATTTTGGGCCCAATATATAACATATTACCCGAAACAACTGTGGCCGCACCTTCAGTCGACTCACTCAAAAGAGGTTAGACTTTTATAGAAGCATACTAGAAAGGGAATAACATAGGCCGTAGGCCTTCTGTCCGCGTCTTATGCTCTTTGTCTGCAGATAGAACATTATAAGTATCAAAGTTACATTAGATATTGACACATAAATTAGAAAAATGGGTTTCTAATCATACATAGTGAATTTTATAGTTTTTATTAACTAGTGGTTTTCTCCTGAAGGTCATTGTTATTTTGTCTGGGTTCATGGGGTTGTTTACTATTTTAAAAAAGCTTAAACAGAAAGAGAAGGAAGTCCGGGTGTTAATACTGTAAGCGAGAAAGTGAGAATAAGTTGTTGGCAAAATTATTTGATTGACTTTCTGAACACTGATAATTATGTTTGAAGCTTCGAATCTTGCACGATATGCGATCGTACACGATATCTTACATTTGAATATCCCATGTTCACAATCTGTCGTGGTGTTGGTTACGAAGTACTTCTTAGTCCTGTTAGAGACGAGGGTTGTCTGTCATCCATTTGCCTAAGTGTCACAGGTCTCTGTGTAAGTTTAGCCAACATACTCATGTGTAGTTTCCTGCGACAAATGCTTCTTATCCCTCCTTTGAATACACACAGAACTGTCCCATAGAAATAATCAGATAATAGAGTGAACTTAAGCAACTTTTTCCAAGTTCGTTGCATGCGAACGGCTTTCTGCGTCGGTGAGTATTCGTTGCGGATTATATTACATTACCGTGCTTCGGTTTGGGCACCCGGGCAGTATCACAGCCCTCACACATATCAGATAAGATCTGTGTGGCGCATATGTATTTGGGGCCTCCTCGTACCAATATTTATATGTTAAAATAAATAACAAGTAAAATTACATTACAGAGAGCGTCCACTGATTTCCAGTACTGAAATTTATGGTAAGCTATTACATCAGCACCAAAAAAGTAGCTGTTAGGGCTCTATCTGCTTTGTCTCTTTTAATGAACCTCCAGGGTATCGTATAGGGCAGTCCTCACTGAAGCGGTCCGATATGTATGGGAAGCTGACAAATATTAGGTGGAGTTGAGATAATGGTCCACAAATACACTGACTATTACACTGACCATTTAGGGGTGTGAATTTTTTTGCTTCGGTTATTTAGAATGATTGTGCTCCACCATAAGTTTCGGTAGATCTGATCAATGTCTTATTTATGACGCGCTAGATATTGAGCACCTTGTTTCTTTTTCATTTAATACCCATGTGTTTTTCCCATTTTCACTTTGATTACATTTCGGGTTTTTCCATGCTGTTTTAGTCCATCGCAACTTAGGCCGGTGTCTTTTGAGATCATTAACACTAATGTATCTGTCTGTTAGATAACTCAATGAAAATAGATATTACTGACCGTAAAATGGAACTGTTATTAAGTTACAAAACGATGTCAGTTATATCCTCTGAATTGCGTTTGAAAGTTTCTGATTTAAATTATGCTTTACCTACTCTGATTTTAGTAAGCAAGCAGCACAAATCTGTACTCAATAACTGAATTGGATTCTATATTTTACCAGGGAAATCTAATATTGTAATTTATCGTTTCAAATTGTCATGATCAGCGGCAGCTATATGTGGTGGTTAGACCCTCACTATTGGTATGGAAACGTATTATCGAGTTGCTTGGCATGATAACACTGGTAATTAGTCAGGTTTTCTATCTGACAACCACTTAAGATACTGTCCAAAGCGAGATAAACGTCTTATGGTCTGGTGCTAATATGTTTTTGACTTGAGTTGCTGTATTTTACGCCACTATGTAATGCATCCGTGCGATTTTCAAATCATAAAGTTCGATTATATTGCTGACATTAACCAAAAAGGTTAGCTTAAATTAGCAGTTAGTGCCTTCGTAAATAAGTGCATCTTCTTAGTGGAGAACAGGAATCCTCTCGTAGATGCTGTCAGCCAAACATTTCTTAAAAACAATAGAATTAATATTTTCTTATGATGTAGGTTGGAAATTCAGTTTATCATAAGATAAATGTTAGGGTAACTTAGCGTGTTAACAAAATACAGTATAAAAATTTCCCGTAAAATCCTATGCTTTTTGGAGTTTTTTTCGGAACGAAATCGGGTAGGACAAAGGTATAATTTTAAGTAGGTACTATTCATGCTCCGCCTGGAGTCCCTCCGGGTGCTACTGCCGGTCCCAAGCCCGGATAAAGGAGGAGGGTTTGACATGGGGTTAGCGACCCCATCCCTTAGAAAACTAACTCGCTAAAAAGCGCTAACCAGAAAAACTATTCATGGTCATTAAACCCTAATTCACCCACTTTATTTAGGATATTTGGTGAGGATCCATTCAGCCCCATACGCAACGTAGTTGGCACATGTGCCTCGGTTCAAGTTGCCAATACACCAAAACAATCAAGTGAAATGGTTTAGGAAAATCTAAATGCAGTACAGATAATAACAGTATTAGTTGTAATAAGAAAGATTAAGTATGGGCAATATGATTCGAGAAAAGAGATGAATTGGTGGAATGAAAATAATTGATAAGGTCATTTAGGGTCTTAAGGTTAAAGAGAAAACCAAGAGTGAACGCCTATGTGTTATTGTTAACAGTTTTGAGCCATTTTATCAAATCTGTAACCATTGTTTGGGAAAAAACGCACAGACAAACTAAGTAGTCTACACCTATCTACATAATTGAGTTGAACTGACAACGGCTTCATGGATTAATTCCACATTTCGGTTTGGCCTCCCCTAGCCAGTTTAAGATCTACTCTACACCAACGATCATCATACGCCAAGGATGGTTATTATTAACCAAAATAGGTTAAATTGGTGATAATTTACCATACTGTCACTAAAAAGGAAGTTTGAAGAAAGCTAGGGACGACCAAACCAAGATGCAGCACCATTCTATAGAGTCATTACCAATTCGACCGAGCCATGTGAATAGGTGTAAACTACCTGTTTGGGGTCCGTGTCATAATCGTTACCAATTAATAGAAACTTTGAAGAACACGGATCAGAATCGTTCACTATGGAGGAGTTACACTCACTATTTGTTTCCTGTAGAACCCGAGTCCCGAAATCTATTTATATCTTTCCTCATTCATACTACCCCTAAGACATTTACCACTTTTGTTATTGTAGGATTTGTCTCGAAACGATTTTGTCTGACTGTGATAATGTGGTGTGACAACTTGAAACGGTGTACATAATTATCAGGTCCTATGTTGCATATGGCTGTCTGATTGAAAAAAAACTCGACCCTTTATGCAGGTTTTTTCTTACTTGGATTATTTTGAAAGACTATTGTTAGTATGCATTTGGTAAAATTCTTCCAGAACTGATTAACATATTTTATATTCTATTTTGCTACTATAGAGGATTAGACAATGCTGGCAAGACAACCATCGTAAAGAAATTTAATGGTGAAGACATAAACAGTATATCTCCAACACTAGGTTTTAGTATTCAAACACTAGAACATATGGGGTATCCAATCAAATTATCAACATTATTCTAAGTATATATTTTTAGTTTCAAATTGAATATATGGGATGTCGGTGGACAAAAGTCTTTGCGATCATATTGGCGAAACTATTTTGAAACTACTGACGCATTAATATGGGTTGTGGACAGCTCAGATCGCCTTCGTCTAGAAGATTGTCGGGTAGAACTATCTAAACTGCTAGTTGAAGAACGATTAGCCGGTGCTACTTTACTTGTGTTCGCTAACAAACAAGTAAGATCAGTAACTGTATTTCCAATTGGTTACTTGAACTAATTATATTTTTTATAAACTTTTCAATTCACTTAATAGACAATTTGCATAGTCATTATAGCTAATCGGATATCCTAATAGTAAACATATTTTTGTGATATCTCAACAAGTGGAAAATTATATTTCGGACGTTTCATGACTTGATGCAAGTCACTTCTTTGGTTGTTTATTTATTTATTTAAACATAAACATTGGTACAGAGAGGCACCAGATAGATATGTGCCACATAAATCATTCGATTGGTGTGAAGGCTGGGATACTGCCCGGGTGCCTAGACTGAAGCAGGTGGTTTTCTTAGGGGGCTACATCTCGAGCCCTGGACCTAAAGGTCTGATCCACAAGGCAGTGGGGCATCGTGAGGAGATGCAGTCCTATGGTAGCCGGTGACCGAAAACTGGTTCATACGCCATTTGTTCCCTCAGGATACTGGAGCCCATATGCACTATTGGTTTGGGATCCGGTTAAAGCACCGGAAATTCGCTTTTGGTCCTCTCATTTCCGTAAACAACACCTCGCCACGAGAAGGCAGTGAGTAGGACTTCCTTGGCAAAGGCTATATACGCGTGGCCGTGTGAGAGCATTTCGAGAGGGAGGGCGGGCCTATCCCGCTCTCGGTCATACCAGGGCATTTGAGGGCAAGGTTGTGATGAGGGTGGGATTCGAACCCACGCCCTTCCTTTTGAGTAAATAAATAACGGGAATAAGATTAACATGAGTTTGGATAGTACGAAAGAAGCAGTGCAGAATATATTTTTGGTCGTACTAAATATATTCATTATTTCCCTTGTGCTATTTAAACTCATGTTGATCTTATTTCCGTTATTTATTTACTCTGAAGAAGTGACTTGTATCAAGTCATGAAACGTCAGAAATACAGTTCTCTACTTTTTGGGATATCACAAAAATATATTGATTATTAATCTTCTACCCAACGCTCAGTTTATTTGAAACTATCATGTCCAATCTTGGCATTGATACCTATTAACTAGATATCCATTTTAAATTGTTTGCACAAAGTAATAGGATATTCTTGATGAAAAGTACCAAGTTTTTCTAAATACTGCAAAGATGGAATGTTACATGCTATTTTCTATTCATTTATTTTTCACAGTTTTGACCTCTTGTATCCAGTGTGAGTCTGTATATCTTTATTTACTGTCTCTAATCAATATGCTATCTGGACTTCGACTCCCTGTATTGTTTAGAACATCATGTGTGTGAGTCAATTACAAACTAAGGGACACAAAGACAAATCATATATCATTTACATGATCAGTCGCAGCATCTCCAACAAACTATATAGGATAAAGTAGCACCCCACGTCTACCTGAACACTAGTTATCTGTTAAATGTCATGACTTAGCTTCACTTATATCAATGCATGTGGACAACCATGTAAATGACTTCGACTAAGAAAACATCAAGATACTAAGCACAAAATAGAAAGAATGCCAATGAATTTTTAGAAGCATGACAATCTAATAAAACACCAATCATTAGACACATTGAAATCAATCAAATCTGTCAGTCGATGTTGTTGCTCAGAAAAGCAATAAAAGCTTCACAACTAAATCATTCAGCTCATAGAACATAGGACCTTCAGCTTACTGTCTGGATCATTGCAGATGAACGTATGTACGAAAATCTATACGTACAGTTCTAGCAAATCACATGGGGGTTGAAATGATTGTTTACGCAAATGTCCCCTAAAGTTTTTGATACTCGAAGGAGAGCTCAGAAGGACCGAATGATAATTCAACGAGTAAAAATTGTAGATTGCATCACGGGAGAAAGAGTAGATCATTATAAGTAGAACAGCGAGTTATCCAAACAGCCTGACTTTCGAACATTCCTTTGGGTGTTTCGGGTAATAGGAACGGAAATAATGTAAGTATCCATACAAATGAGGGGGGTTTCGAAAGACATGTACCCTACATTTTCCATATGCTCGTGGAAATCATGCAACCTGACCGCCTGAGACTATCATATGTGGCTCAGAATATAAGTTAGTAGTTATATTTCTGTAAAGTGAAATGAACTTTCTTAACTAAAACAAACTTCTCTTGCTTGTATCTCATCAAATAGTATTCTTGTCCACTTTTTTGTTGACTGTAAAACTACCCCCCTTCTATTATTTTACAATATTATTTGATTTTTTTGGCTTATGTTTTTCGAGTGCAATATTGTTAGAGAACTTTTATGTGTGCTAGGGTTGGTGCTGTCACGAGTTCACTTAATCTACGAACGAGAGCAAAGACTCAGTGACCAAAGACCAGTAAGTTAGCTATTTGATGCATCCCAGCCCCACTAACTAGAGGGAGAAGTCCAAACTTGGAATGGGAAAGTATATTCTGCAACACCCGACCGTTGTCGCTACCTTGACGTGGTGGTCGGGCTTGCCTATCGTGATGAAGCAACCGAGCTATACTGACTGTAACAACTGTTCCTCAAGGTCCTACCACGTCAGAAAGGTCGGTTGAAGAGCGGTAAGACTGAAAGCAACAAACTCAAGGTCCGAAGGCGAAGTCCAACTGCTGACTGCACAGAGGTGTGAGGGCAGTAAGGTGTTTCCCCCAGACAACCAGCATGACAGCGATCCTGCCTTCCCACAAAGAAGGGTGCGGTCAGAAAACGTCGACCCTAAAAATGCACACCTCGCCTTATCCCACGGATATCCGTTCCCGGCGATAAGGTCTCAACAAGTACGGAGCTAACACAAAAATTGCCCATAAAAAGGTCGTGTGTGACCGACCTCAAGCAGTTGTCTCTTGGGCACTGCGGTCACGCTCCCAGGTCACTAAGACCACCTCTAATCCGATTTCCTTCTCAGGTAGCTCCAGAAGAACCTTTCCACGGTGTGGGCAACCGGGAAGTGATAACCGCCCTCATACCTCTAACCGCACTCAAGACCACTGTATTCGTAATCAACCTCCCTATTCATTCTGCAGCAGCCAGAAACGAGCGATCACCCAAACACAATTCAAACGTATAGCTATCAATTATATGTATATAATCGATATTACCATGGAAGTATTTCTAAACATTTAATCGATAAGTTAGTCAATGGACTACCATTGAAATATTTAAACATTTAATCGATAAGAATAGTTTAGTTAATTAACAATTATACGGTAAAATATACGTATTGTATTTGGTCCACAAATGGATCTCAAAATTTACCACTGATTATTCTTATTATTCTTATAACAATGTGCTATAAATAAATTTAACAAATCAAAGTTTCTATGGTTTTAGTTCGTATGTTTTTTTGTGTGAATAGAATACCTACTGAATTACTGAGACGAAATTGAATTTGACCATATGTTATCATCCCAAGTTGTTATACTTTTAAAATAATGAAACTATAGGTGGATGATGTTGATTTATTGGTCGTAACATTTGATATTCAGCCAGTAGGTTACGTCTTACACCACTTACTTTGACTTAAACAACCGGATATTATCACTAACCCTCACATCGTCAATGTAGTTCAGAAATAATTACACAAACATACTGACTTACGCCTGTTACTCCTCGTGGAGGAGCATAGGCCACTCACCAGTATTCTGCATTCAACCCTGTCCTTAGCGATTCTTTTCAGCTCTTTCCAGTTGTTATTCATCCTTTTCATATCTGCTTCTATTTTCCCACATAATGTGTTCATTGGCCTTCCTCTTTTCCGCTTCCCTTCAGGATTCCAAGTTAGCGCTTGTCTCGTGATGTAGTTTGGTGATTTCCAAACATGTACTCGGTAATTTAAGTTAAACATGGGTTAAGTGATGGATGAAAATTATTTACTGAACAAATGCCTTAGTACTGTGGAGAGTGGAGAGAGTCAGCTCCCCCTCTCGAAATGCTTTCAAGTAGCCACGTGTATACAACCACTAACAGAGAAGTCCTACTCACTGCCTTCTCGTGGCATGGGTGTTAATTACGAAATTGAGAGGGCAAAAAGTGAATATCCGGCGCTTTAACCGGGTCGGTGAATACGGAGGATCCACCCAGGGAAGTTGAAAAACCCTGATCTCAAACCAATGGTGCACATGGGCTCCAGTATCCTGAAGGAAAAATCGTTGGTCACCGGCTACCATGGGATTGCATCTCGACGTTGCTTCACTGCCTTGTGGATTAGACCATTATGTCAAAGGCTCCCGGTGTGACCCCCTAAGAAACGATTGTTCCAGTCAGTATAGCTCGATTGGTTCATCACGATAGGCAAGCTCAACCACCACGTCAAGGTGGCAACAACGGTCGGGATTCAATCCAGCTATCATTCAAACTTGTCATTATTAATCAAAACATTTGTACTTTGCATTTTAGGATTTATCTTCATCATTGAAACCGTCACAAATACGTGAATTATTACATTTAGATGAGATAACAACACATCATTGGTTAATTCTTGGTTGTAGTGCAGTTACTGGGGAGAATTTACTAGATGGTATAAATTGGTTACTCAAAGATGTATCTTGTAGAATATTCTCATCAGATTAATTACTTTCTATTTCAAATCGCTTTCGTTAGGATTTACTCTCTTTTTTCAAAAGAAATCAATTTGTGTAATTACATTATCAACAATGTTTATCATAATTCCTTATATATGAAAATAACATTGGTAACATGATTTTGTGCGTAAATAATAAGCATACGATATGATTGTACACATTACTTATGCCTGTAAATATAATAATTATTCCAAATATTATTTCTTTTCCGTTCATGGAAGACCTTTAAATGACGTTGCATTGATCTTCATAATGTTCACTTACTTACTTACTTACTTACACTTGTTACTCTCAATGGAGCATAGGCTGCCGATCAGCATTTTCCAACCCACTCTGTTCTGGGCCTTCCTTCTTAGTTCTATCCTATTTTTGTTTGTCTGTCTCCATTTCTCGACGTAATGTGTTCTTTGGTCTTCCTCTTTGTCTTTGAGGATTCCAGGTGAAGGTGAGGGCTTGCCTTGTGACTTAAACTTACAGGGTGGTTATAAACTAGTGTGAGAAGTCAAGATTAGGAATTATGGCTGTACGTTTGCGTTAGGAGTTGGATTTAGGGTTTTTTTATCACGAGCTGATATAAGATATAATGTCAAATTGCTACTTAGCAAATGAATGGATGACTTTCGCGCCAAAATCTAATACATGTTATCTTAAATCTGATTGACTCGTTCATAAATTATAGTTTCACCAGAAGTGTATATACGACTGACACTTGCTGCATATACCATTGAAGGTTATCTTGGGTCTACTATTGATGGTTTCACTTACCACTGAATTCATGTAAAGATTGTTTGAGGCCTGTCATTCGTGGAGTTCTTCGCATTGGTCGGTTTTATAGTGTTGCTTCAGTAATCTCTAAAAATTTCATACCGGAAATTTGAGAGCCAAGGGATTTTGTGGCTTGAGATGTTGGTTATTTGAGGATACATATAATTGGCATCACACCCCAATATGATTCCAACATAATTTCTTCCACGGGCCTTACAAACTATGACAGCAAAATGCACCACAGCTGTCGCTGGAGAAGTTTCGTATGTTACAACATTAGTCTCTAAATGCTTGAAAAACGGGAGTTTGTACCCCATTACGAGCTCATCTAAGCCATGGTTTATCAAAGATTTTCTGTCGAACAAAACACATTGCCATCAAGCACCGTTAAAGGGGCTCGATAGAAGACAATCATTCATTCTGGAGCACATGTTTAGACTCGAATCCTGCTCTAGTTCGAGCACGTATTTGACTGCGCCTTATTGGACGTAGAAAAGCCATGACAAGAAAAACCACTTAGAGTTCAACTTAATGATTAAAAAAAATGATAAAATACACATAAGGAATAACTAGAGAAGTCAGTCAATCATAAAAGTGATATCCACCCTGAGGTAACTTGGAATGATATATCAAAAGAGCTGTGGGAACAGCAGTGATATCTACTAGTAACATGAACCAATAGGTCAAGAAAAAACTAGATTTCAGCGGCATTTACTGGACTGATGGATGTTAGGGAACTTATCCCGTTTGGCTCCGAACACGGTGAGCGGAAGCAACTTAAACGTAGGCTGATAAAAAACCTACATAAAGATCGTGAGAAGTGATGGGTAGTGGAAGCAGAAGAGATGGGAAAGGCAGCTGTGATAAGTAACAGTAGACAACTGTTTAGACGTTTCAAGGAAACAAGTATTAATAAGCCGGCTGTTAGTGAAACTATCTCGGAAAAAGTCGGGACTATTATTCACTGTTAATCCAGAAGACTGAAGCGATGGGCAGAACATTTTAGGGAACAGTCCAACTGACTTTTAGTCACATTTCGGTTCCCCATAATGCCAACCTGAGTCACTTGTGTTGTGGGCGAGAAATCCATATTTCAAACAAAGGTGAGTTTACTGAGCAGCAATTCGCTCTGTCCTATTTTATGGATGTAAAACATGGTCATTCAGAATAGAAGTTAATCGTAGGCTACTAGACTTCAATCATAAGTGTCTATAAAGCATTGCTGGTGTATTTAGGGATTACGGAGAAAGCAATGGGTGGGTTAGAAATGTAGTACTAGGTAAAGATGGGGTATCGATTGATGAGGTGGTAAATCTTCAGCAACTGAGGTGATTGGGACATGTTGAGTATCCCTAACTACCGCCTAGGTTGAGTAGGCTTCAAGAAAGCTAGAGACGACCCAACCAACACGTGGCACCAGTTCATAAAGACACTGACGATTGGACTTATCCATGTTAATATGTATATACTACCTGGTCGAGTGCGCGTTGTTAGTTTAACCAATGGTTATAGACTTTGAATGACATGGCTCCAAATCGTCAGCAATGGCTCAGTTGCATCCATTCTTCGTCTTCCCTCAAACTTTGAGCTTTTGAATTCCTCGTCGTTTAATATTTTTATTTTGCAAATTTATACTTTCTTTTTTAGTCATATCGTCGATGCCTAGTCTTTTCTATTACCACTGATACTGTTACTACTTCTACTGTTCTGGGACTTGAATTTATGACTATCTCTGTGCTAATAGGGTATAGCAAATTGAATTGATGTACATACGTACCATGTTCTAAGTTGTGACAGACTGAGTGAAATACGCTGAGTAGGTAATAAGGTAGTAATGGAAGTTTTCTACCTCTTCCAACATGCGTGATTAGGGCACCTAAATCGTTTTCCAGTAGCTTATGGTAGTTTATAGTAGTGTTTCTTCTATAACTGATCGTTTCTGAGGCTGTCAGAAAAAAACATCATTGAATAAACATCAATTGAGATTTTTCGTTATCTATTAACTAAAAGGTCTATATTAGCCGAAATCAATAAACTTTATCAAACATCTTCATGGGAATGCTTCCTTTCAAGGTTTTACACAAGCTGACCTACCTACTGATGAGTAAGAAAAGTTGAATGATTAACGGAGTATTTGAACAAATGAATATTGAATCATAGAAATAAATGTGGCCGCTGAAGCCTAGGGTAAATACCACTAAGCCAGGGTACATGCAGTCCAACACGAAGCCAGGTGCATGCTTCATTATATATTTTTGGGTCATGATAATTATCCTTCCTCAGGTTCAGCTACGGAAACGTCGTTACAACTTTTACTTCATCTAAATGGTGAAATTAGTTCATCTCAGCACCAGTCGAGCGGCAAAGACACTACAACAAATAATCCAATGACTTCACTAAACCATTCAAACGGTAGTAGCAACGGGTGGTGTGTTTAAAGGGTAGGGACGCAATCAGAGCAAAGTTTATGACTTGTGCTTACCAGGAATTCCTCGTTCACGATTGTAATGAAACAATTTGCCAAACCCTTTCGGGCCAGGTTTCCAGACTCTGTCATTGTAGCACACGTGTGGTCCCGGACATCTAACGGCATCACAGACATGTTATTGCTCAATTTCGTACAACTTGGGTGTGCTGCTTGTCCCTCTAACAAGTAAAAACCAGCATCTTACCCGCCGGACCACGATCACACTACACCATAAAGAAGTTATAGAATCCGCGCCGTAAACGAGGACGGAGGATCAGTCTATTATTTAACAAGTTAAAGTCTATTTCTCATCGAAATTAACCAGACAAATCGCTTCAGCCAATTAAGAAAAACCCTGAAGAAGTTCAGACAAGTTTGTTGGACGAAACATTGAAATTATTTAAATAATTAAAAAAAAAGTCTTACAAAAAAAAGTAATGTATCTCATTCATTGAAATGAATGTTTGTTTTTTTTTCCACAAGAAATATGATCTTTAAAGAAGAAAGAAAAAAAAAGAAAAGAAAATTTGTAAAATGTACTCATGATCCCGTTCAACCTCTTGAACGTGATCGTAAATTACCAAGATCTGTTGATAATTTCCGATAATTTATAATACCGATTTTTTTATCATGTAATAATTCACCAACAAATTGACATTGTTTTGGTGTTTTCATTTCATCATTACCATTTAATGTCATATCATTTAACCATTGTTTCCATGGTACAATAATTTGTTTCGGTGGGATAATTAATTTTGGTTGATCTTTTTTATTATTCGGATACCAGATTAATGATTGTGCCGCATTACAATGTGGTGGATTTATGGCGGATAATGGTAATTTTTTATTCTTATCTAATATAATTGGTTTTTCATATTGCGTATCATCAATATGTTTTAAACGTTTCCCAATTGGTTGATATGGATCTAATCTGATATGTAATTCATATTGCCAACGTATTGTATTTAATATATATAATTGATCTTGTTCAATATTAATTAGATTATATGAATTTAATTTATAATTTCGACCATGTTTTATTGCTAATAACCATACCGAAAATTGTTGTCTTCTTATAATCTCAGTTAATTGTACATTATTATTGTTACCATGGGAATATGGTAATTGCCATGCAATTGTTGGATAAAAATAATCTTTATAATGTAATTGAATAAATTTACTTGTTATATAACCACGATGAATGACATAGTTACTATTAAAAATATCATAAAATGGATATTGATTACCATCACTATCATTAATCATTTGATGTCGTCCTGTTTTAATTGGATGAAATTCCCATAATGTACTACCATAATTATTATAACGTTGTTCTATATAATTTTCATAACATGCTTGTACTAAACCAATAGTCCAATATTGTTGATTAGTTATACAATCATCATTTATCATTAATTTAATATGACAATGAAAATGTTGACTTTTATATTTGAAAAAATTCGATTTTTCTATTATTTCTGTTTTACTATTTGGATCATAATAGGCATCAATAGATTGAACATGAATTTGATCTAATGAAAATGTTGACATTGATATGTTAATTAATTAGATCTTTTAAATGATGACGATGATGATTTCAATGATCAGAAGTTCTTCTTCGTTGTTGTTGTTGTTGTCGTCGTCGGCGTTTTCTTCTTCTTGTTGTTACATTAATTCATTCGTTTATTCATTGATTTATAGTTACTTTAAATGTTTGTTATTGATTAATAATGATAGATCAATAATCAATATAATCT